TGGCATGTGATGTGTTCTATAATCATGGGATCAGCAAGGAGGAAGCAGAGTACAGATCTTCGGGGAGGATGTCATGGTGATCAGACATATCTGCAAACAAATAGGTATCATTTAACCAGATGCCAAGAGGAGTGACGTCATCGTGTGTCATCCGTCGGCTGTCACTGGCTCTCCGGGGATCAGAGAGCACAACTGGAGAAAGTGCTTCATATCTATCAGGCTGGCCTCTTACAATGAGTCACCAGGGGGGTAACAATGTTACAGGATCACTGCACATGGACTATGTGTATTCAGTGGACTTCACATATCACAACATTCAACTCATTAACCCCCTCAGTACCGGCACTTCACCCTCTTCCTCCCCAGGCTGTTTTTCACACTTCAGGGCTCACACTTTGACATTTTTAGCATTTTTTTTCACACAAATAGAACTTTCTGCTGGAGGTATTTATTCACCTTTTTTTTGCTAAATAAGTGAAAAAAGACTGAAAATTTAGAGGGGAAAAAAAACCTAATTGTTTCTTTTTTATATTTTTTTTTTTTTTAAACATACTGCGACCAGACCAATACAGTGTTAGCATAGTAACAGTTTACTACTCTGGGGAAGTGATCAGGATTTTTCTTTTCTTTTTACACAATATGATTGCCTATAACAGTGATAATCACTGTCATAAGCAATCATTTTTTTCTGAATGAAATCCATTCATTCAGTGTGTACTGCTATGATTTGCTGTGATTGGCCCTGTCTGTACCATGTGATTACTATGGCCAATCACAGAGATCAAAACAATAGTGCACAATGAATGGAAGCCATTCACTGTACAACTGCCATGCGATCTCATGTGATTGGTCACAGCAATCACAGGGTCACATTTTTAGCATTTTTTTTCACACAAATAGAACTTTCTTCTGGAGGTATTTATTCACCGCTGGGTTTTTTTTAATTTTTTTGCTAAATAAATGAAAATTTAAAAAATACTTTTTCTTTTATATGTGTTTTGTTTTCTTTTTAAACATACTGTGACCAGAGCAATACAGTGTTAGCATAGTAACAGTTTACTACTCTGGGGAAGTGATCAGGATTTTTCTTTTCTTTTTACACAATATGATTGCCTATAACAGTGATAATCACTGTTATAAGCAATCATTTTTTCTGAATGAAATCCATTCATTCAGTGTGTACTATTATGATTTGCTGTGCTTGGCCTGTCTGTACCATGTGATTACTATGGCCAATCACAGAGATCAAAACAATAGTGCACAATGAATGGAAGCCATTCACTGTGTACAATTGCCATGTGATCTCCAGTGATTTGTCACAGCAATCACACGGTACCAGCAGTGGCCAGGTGACAGCTCGTGCCACAGCTCGGCCCGTGGGGCACGCGTAGGGCACAATCCTAGGTGATTGTCATATGACGTCCACCCAGGATCGGAGAGTTCCCACTCAGCCGTCATTAAAAGGTCAGGTGGGAAGAGCTTAACCACTTGCCCTCTGGAGGATTTACCCCCCTTCCTGACCAGGCCATTTTTTGCATTATTACTTTGCGCAGTTATGCAATGCTGCACCCAAATGAAATTTATGTCCTTTTCCCACATATAGAGTTTGATCACCTGTGCAGTTTTTATTTTTTGCGCTATATAAACAAAAAAAACCCCGACGGTTGTGAGAAAAAAACAATATTTTTGACTTTTTGCTATTAACCTCCCTAGCGGTCTGATTATGTCAGTATTTCTGTGCTCAAAGCGGTACATTTTTTGCATGGAAATATGTTGTTTTTTTTTATTGTAGGCCTGTAATTTTTAGGAATAACTCACTGAAATCTGTCCGAACAAGAGTCTAGTAAACATTCCGGATATGATAAAATTTGAAACACAAAATCATAAATTATAATATAATAAATAATCATAAAAAAATAATAATATAATAATAATAAATTTAATTCAATAATATAATCAAACCAAAAACACTGAAATGTGAAATAGAGCGCCAAGTTCGCACATCGCTGAGCAAAGTCGCAAAATCATTTTCAGTGTCTGATGATGAATTTCCCCACGAATCATTATCACTCAATTCTGCAAGTGGTTCTAATTTACTATCGCTGTTCTCTAGCCGGTCTGAAACCGCTTTTGACGTAAAGGGACGCTTTTTGGACGCCATGGACGTTTCTCAGTTTCCTGGCAGAAAGAACAGTAAAAATGCAGGCAGGGCACAGGACAAAGCACTCGGGACAAAATGTATGTGAAATGGGTTGAAACAGTAATGTTTTACTATGTGATTTTAGTGAATTTAGTGAATGTCACTTTTAAAATGTTTGAATTTTCCACCGGTTCTGTCCCCATACATCATGACGTCGCAGGGAACGGAACCCAGAAGACGGATGCCGGCATCGGCCGGAGGACATGGACGGGGAAGCTGCAGGAGAGACATCGCGGGAGCGAAGGACAAGGTAAGTGCAGAAGGGATCCCGGAGCAACGCTGCAGGGTATTCCCAAGTGTAGCTCGGGGTTACCGCTTTTGGTACTAAAAGTTTACCCCGAGCTACACTCGGGAATACCGCTAAGGAGGTTAAACATATCCAGTAAAAAAAAAATGCAAAAAAATAAATTTCGGCATAAATTTAGGGCAAAATGTATTCTACTCCATGTTTTTTCTAAAAAAAAAAAACCCCAATATGTGTAAATTAATTGGTTTACGTGAAAGTTATATCGTTTACAAATGGCTGTATATATACTGGAATTTATTTTACATTTTTTTTTACTAGTAATGGCGGCGATCAGCGACTTATAGCAGGACTGCGGCAGCCATTCTAACATTGGGGGGAATTGACTTGGTGTCACTGACATCCCCAGTGACACCAATACAGTGATCAGTGCTAATAAAAAGCACTGACACTACTATTGACATTGGGCAGGAAGGGGTTAACATCTGGGGCGATCAAAGGGTTAACTGTGTGCTGTGTGTGTTTTACTATGAAGCTGTGTCTGTGCTTTCCACTGTAAGCACACAGCTTTGTATGGCTTTGCTATGCAGTGTGCTGGAGCTGACGGGAGAAATCTGTACTGTTCACATACAGTTCTCTCCCCTGTTGGTAATACTCGGCGATCACCAGGTGGTGGTGAGTAATCACCGGCCGGGGGACACGGTGATTGACAGCCAAGGCCACGAATGGTGGCGCAGGTAGGCCCCTACCCAGAAATGCAAAATCACGTATATATATATATATATATATATATATATATACGTGATTTTGCATTTCCAGGTAGGGGATGCGTGCACACACTGCTCTACCCGCACCGCCACTACAGCTGTCGATCACCAAGTCCCGGCCGGAGATTCCCCGCCGGCGATCACTGAGGAACAGTGAAAGGGGAAAGGTCTGTATGGAAACAACACAGATCTCTTCCCTGTGAGCACCAAAGTGAGCACCAAAATGCTTCTTTGTATTGCTCTGTACAGCAGAGCAATACAAAGAAGTAAGTTTCCCTAGTAAAACACACACAGCACACAGTTAACCCTTTGATCGCCCCAGATGTAACCCCTTCCTGCCCAGTGTCATTCGTACAATGTCTGTGCTTTTTATTAGCACTGATCACTGTATTGGTATCACTGGGGATGTCAGTGGCAGTTAATCAGTTTCCCCCCCAGTGTCACAATGCCCGCTGCAGTCCTGCTATAAGTCGCTGATTGCTTTACTAGCATAAAAAAAATTAAAAATTCCAGTATATACACTTCCATTTGTAGACGCTATAACTTTCACAATTCATTTACGTGTTTTGGGATATACATTTTGGCCTAAATTTATGATGAAATTTTATTTTTTAATTTTTTTTTACTGGATATATTTTATAGCAAGTCAAAAATGTTTTTTTTTTTCAAATATGATCAAATACCACCGAAATAAAGTTCTATTTGTGGGAATAAAAGGACACAAATTTCATTTGGATGCAGCGTTGCATGATCGCGCAATTGTCAGTTAAAGTAATTCAGCGCCGTACCACAAAAAACGGCCTGGTCAGGAAGGGGGGTAAATCCTCTGGAGGGCAAGGGGTTAATGTCTCAACATTTCTCCTAATGGCTCCTGCACACAGCATTTTTATCGGTAGGATTTCTTTTTTTATAGGTGTATGCAGTTGTATAGTTTTCTATGGTGTCATGCACGCTGTATGTAAAGATCGGTAAACCTGTGCTGCGTTCAGGTACGTAAAATCAAAATAGAAGGTCTAAGGCAGGGGTCCTCAAACTACGGCCCGCGGCCCGCCGAGGACATTTATCCGGCCCACCGGGCAGGGGCGTATCTGCCGCAAGCCAAGGGACTAGGGTTTGGCAGGTCGGGAGAGCTCGGCAGGGCTCGGGTGGGAGGCAGGAGGGCGGGATCAGCAATTCTAAAACGGGGAGGTGGGCTCGGCTTATGAACCCGCACCACTCACCTGGCCTGTCTGCAGCCAGACGGCCATTTATTCTGATCAGTGCAACCGTCACGGCCGGAGGGCGGAGCCTAGAGCTGACCATGAAGAGGGGGAGCAAGAGAGGAGACTCCATCGCTGCATGTCGGGTATCACGGCCACAGACCCTAGATAAGTGCAATAGATGATCGATCTCCTCCCTCTCTCTTCCCCCCCTCTCCCTCCCCCCTCCTCTCTCTCCCCCCTTCCTCTCTCTCTCTCCCCTCCCCCCCTCTTTCTCTCTCCCCCCCCCCCCCCTCCCCTCCACCCCTCCTCTCTCACCCTTCCTCTCCCCCCTCCTCTCTCTCCCCCCCCCCTCCTCTCACTCCCCCCCCTCCTCTCTCCCCCTCCCCCCTCTCTCTCTCCCCTCTTTCTCCCCCTCCTCTTTCTCCCCTTACCCCCTCTCTTCCCCCCTCCTCTCTCTCTCCCCCTCTCCTCTTTCTCCCCTCCCCCCTCTCTCTTCCCCTCCCCCCTCCTCTCTCTCTTATCTCTCTCTCCCCCTCCTCTATCTCCCCTCCTTATCTCTCCCCCCCTCTCTCTCTTTACGTTGTACACAGATCTCACCCAAGAAGGCATCCTGCATTTACCGTATATTTTGCTCCATAAGACACACTTGGGGGTAAATGTCTGTGCGTCTTATGGAGCAGCCAGCCCAGTATTCCCACCGCCGTTGTATGTCCGCAGTCTCTGGTCATCTGTATTATGTCTGCAGTCTCTGGTCATCTCCTGTACTGTGTCCGCAGTCTCTGGTCATCTCCTGTACTGTGTCCGCAGTCTCTGGGTCATCTCCTGTACTGTGTCCGCAGTCTCTGGTCATCTCCTGTACTGTGTCCGCAGTCTCTGGTCATCTCCTGTACTATGTCCGCAGTCTCTGGTCATCTCATGTACTGTGTCCGCAGTCTCTGGTCATCTCCTGCACTGTGTCCGCAGTCTCTGGTCATCTCATGTACTGTGTCCGCAGTCTCTGGTCATCTCCTGTACTGTGTCCGCAGTCTCTCTGGTCATCTCCTGTACTGTGTCCGCAGTCTCTGATCATCTCCTGTACTGTGTCCGCAGTCTCTGGTCATCTCCTGTACTGTGTCCGCAGTCTCTGGTCATCTCCTGTACTATGTCCGCAGTCTCTGGTCATCTCCTGTACTATGTCCGCAGTCTCTGGTCATCTCCTGTACTGTGTCCGCAGTCTCTGGTCATCTCCTGTACTGTGTCCGCAGTCTCTGGTCATCTGTACTGTGTCCGCAGTCTCTGGTCATCTCCTGTACTGTGTCCGCAGTCTCTGGTCATCTCCTGTACTGTGTCCGCAGTCTCTGGTCATCTCCTGTACTGTGTCCGCAGTCTCTGGTCATCCCCTGTACTGTGTCCGCAGTCTCTGGTCATCTCCTGTACTGTGTCCGCAGTCTCTGGTCATCCCCTGTACTGTGTCCGCAGTCTCTGGTCATCTCCTGTACTGTGTCCGCAGTCTCTGGTCATCCCCTGTACTGTGTCCGCAGTCTCTGGTCATCTCCTGTACTGTGTCCGCAGTCTCTGGTCATCTCCTGTACTGTGTGCGCAGTCTCTGGTCATCTCCTGTACTGTGTCCGCAGTCTCTGGTCATCTCCTGTACTGTGTGCGCAGTCTCTGGTCATCTCCTGTACTGTGTGTCCGCAGTCTCTGGTCATCTCCTGTACTGTGTGCGCAGTCTCTGGTCATCCCCTGTACTGTGTCCGCAGTCTCTGGTCATCTCTGTACTATGTCCGCAGTCTCTGCTCATCTCCTGTACTATGTCCGCAGTCTCTGGTCATCTCCTGTACTGTGTCCGCATTTGTTCATAGTTTTTTTTTTTTTAAACTATAGTCTGGCCCTCCAACGGTATGAGGGACAGTGAACTGGCACCCTGTTTAAAAGGTTTGAGGACCCCTGGTCTAAGGTCATTAATTTCCACTTGTTCGCATAAAATGCATGTCAGCACATGTATGTGTATAGGCGCGTAAATGGAATGGAATGAAAGCAGAATTGTACTTGTCTGCATGCCGTACTGATGGTTACATGTCTATTAGCATGTAAGCACTTTACCGATTATTTGTCCTCATGCACACTGGATCTTTTTACAGCGGCTGTTTTTGGCTTTTGACATTTTATTCTACCAGTAACCCCCCCCCCCCCCCCCAGCATGTTATCCTATATGTCCGTGTACACGTAGACTGGAATCAACATTTTTTGGCAGGGACGTTTTTTGGCTGGAAAAAACACCCCAGAACTAGTGGGTTTCTAGAGGAGTTTTTTAGCTCTAAAAATGCTCCAACGCTGAAAAACGTGGTAAATCAAGGCAAACCGGCGTTTTTTGGACTTTTTTTATCTAAATTTTTTTTAAATTTTGCTTATAAAAAAAATGCAAAAGAAACGCAGCAAAACACAGCTAAACGCTAATGCAAAAACACTGAAAAACTCACATTTTTAACATGACTTTACAATCAAACGTTACCCGCGTTATTAAAACGCCCCGTGTGCATGGAGCCTTTTATGCCTTTTCTAAAAAAAAGATATACCTGCCAGGCAGATCCTGCGTAGATGATCAGTCATCTACCTGCGACCGTGTACAGGTGCCCTAACAGTTCATTCATGCTTAAAACACATATATCTGCATTTCCTTATCTACAGTAGCTACAGCATTGCCATCCTAGGAACACCTGTCTGCTTTGGTGTATTATGGTAATGTGCATTTTATATAAAGCGATTATAAAGGTTAATTTTTTTTTTTTTTTGTAAATTAAAAAACATGTCTAGACTTACCTGCTGTGTACTGTGGTTTTGCATAGAGCAGCCTGGATTCTCCTCTTCTCGGGTCTCCTGCAGGCTCTCCTGGCTCCTTTTTTCTGTCGGGTGCCCCCACAGCAAGTAGCTTGCTATGGGGGCACCTGTTGCTCCGTGTGTCCATTCACACACTGAGCCACGGCTTAGCCCTGCTCCTCACTTCTCTCATTTGCTGGCTGCCTGTGATTGACAGCAGCAAGATCCAATGGCTCCCACTTGCTGTCTCAGCCAATGAACAAGCAGAGACCCGGGCCAGACGAGGCTGGATCGCGATGAGGCTCAGGTAAGGATGGGGGGGGGGGGGGCACTGCCGCACACATGATAGAATGCATGAAGGTAAAAAAACCTTGAGCCTTTAGAACCCCTTTAACATTTGTTGCGTTAATTTCAAATAGGCTTCCAATATGCCACAGCATTCGGGAAAACATACCTGCAGTGTGTTGTTGGATATGGCGCACCATAACACACGGTAGATTGTTGCTACGCATTGCAACACAGGTGCGTTGGGGTGCCATTCAAGCTAAATGACATCACAGCACACCAATGCAGGTAACGTGTTCCCGAACTTGTGACGACATGCATTGCTGCAATCCTCTCCCCAGCATGCGCAGTCTGTACTCCCACTCTGCATGTTTGAATGTACATGTGCGCACAGGGTTGCTTTTAACTTTCTTTTTTTTTGTTTAAATTTGTTTAACCCTTTAACTTGATTTCTGTAATAGAGGGGACAACAAGCAGCCTGTGTGATAACATGGACAGGTTTTCTTTATAGAGACATCAGGGGTCTATTAGTCTGGATGAGTGGACATTCCTATGCAGGCTGTATTTGCATGCAGTACAAAAAATGGCCACTGCCCCATTCTATAACTGGCGAGGAGCACATGGAAGGGCGACACATGTCAAACAACAAAAAATAAAAATTCCCAGCTCAACTTACCAACCAGCCTGCAACCAACCGAATTAACCTGTCTAACAGTATGCGTAAAAACAGGGGTTTAGTTAGCACACATTTGCAAATACATGCGTAAGCTACAAAGCCTCTTCACGGCACCACAGTATTCTGTGGTTCCTAACTCTAAAAATTTTAAGAGCCCCCATAGTAGAGGCACATGTATTTAATGGATAGACTGAGGGCTCCTTGCTGTGAAGGCCAGTTATAGACTAGGGCAGTGGCCATTTCTTGTACTGTTGAATTGTTGGTGAGAGGGGGGCACTGGACACCTTGGCTGCCATTGTGCTACATGCTGGGTGTCCGGTGCGCTCCTGTACCTTTAAGGAGGGGTGGGCTCCATCAGGTCCACCTGCCCTTGGCCTATCTATTAAATGCATGTGCCTCTACTAAGAGGGCTTTCAAAATTTGTAGAGTTAGGAACTACAGTATATTGGGGTGCTGTGACGAGGCTCTGTAGCTTACGCATGTATTTGCAAATGTCTGCTAACTAAACCCCTGTTTTTACGCACACTGTTAGACAGGTTAATTCGGTTTCTTTGCAGGCTGGTTGGCAAGTTAGAGCTGTGAATTTTTCTCTTTTGTTGTTTGACATGTCTTTGTATGCAGACTGCCCTAGACAATGTGATGCTGAGCCTCCATCATTGAAAGAACTGAAATCCAATGAATTAAAGGGGCAGGTCAGGAACAGTCAGCCTGGGGAGGAAAGGAGTAGATGATGCTGGATGCCTTCCAGCCAGAAAATGAGGCGATTAGCTAAAACGGAGGGCTAGCACTGGTCAGCTGTGCAGTCTAGAAGGATAGTCATTTATTCCCTGGAGCTCCCTTGACATTTGAAGGCCAGGTACTGAATTTCTTGCCTGCCCTTTGGCTTTGGCAGGCAAGAAATCATTATGTGCCCCATCTGCAGTCTTCAAGGCTTTCGCTCCTGCTGGATATAAAAGGCCAGGATTCTGGCACAGTCTTCACTTGACTGGTTTGATTCACAGTACACTCACCTCCACTTCATTGTGGCACATGTTTGTGGGTTGTCACCACTTATTTCCGTGGGGACTGATGATTGCAGATTTTGTTATGAATTTTTGCATTCTGTTAAGTTTATGTTATTGTACCACAAAGTTTGTTTAATTTTTAGTAAACCAATAAAGTGTGACTGTAAAGTCGTCTTTGTTATTTTTTTTATGATTATCCAATCAAAGCTTCAAAGGAAGAAGCGCTGCTATGTCTCCTTAGCTAACCCACAGTGCTCTTGTTCTCTTGGAATATCTTACATTTGTAAACCAATTTTACATGAATATATCCTCAACTCGGCCCCCAGCCGCATCACTAACCTGGTCTCAAAATACCAACCAAATCGCTATCTTCGTTCCTCCCAAGACCTCCTGCTCTCTAGCTTCCTTGCCACCTTCCATGCTCTCCTCCAGAACTTCTCCTGAGCCTCTCATGTCCTCTGCAGCTCCCTACCCCAATCTGTCCGACTATCTCCTACTCTGTCCACTTTTAGAAGATCCCTGAAACCCTTTCTCTTCTGAGAAGCCTATCCTACCTCCACCTAACAACTGTACTTTTTATTTTTCTCCATCAGCTCATCCCCCACAGTTATTACTCTTTGTATGACATGACCCCCACTCCCTTTAGAGTGTAAGCTCTAACGAGCAGGGCCCTCTGATTCCTCCTGTATTGAAATACATTTTAACGTACCGTTGTAAAGAGCTACGCAACCTGTTGGCACTATATAAATATTATATATATATTAATATTATTATGCAGGATTTATATAGTACCAACAGTCTGCACAGTGCTGTACAATATAAAGGTAGACAATACAGCAACAATACAATGCTCATGACATCATTGACTCAATATGGCCACATAGCCAAGCTCATCACTAACCACCACCTT